CTGGTTTTGGTATTAGGGTGATGTTGGCTTCATAGAATGAGTTTGGGAGTATTCCCTCCTCTTCTATTTTTTGGAAAACTTTAAGGAGAATGGGTATTATGTCTTCTCTGTATGTCTGATAAAATTTCGAGATAAATCCATCGGGCCCGGGGGTTTTGTTCTTGGGTAGTTTTTTGATTACTACTTCAATTTCGTTGCTCGTTATTGGTTTGTTTAGATTTTGTGTTTCTTCCTTGGTCAGTCTTGGAAGTTTGTATTTTTCTAGGAAGTTGTCCAATTCTTCTAGGTTTCCAGCTTGTTAGCATATAGGTTATCATAGTATTCTCTAATAATTCTTTGTATTTCTGTGGGGTCCGTCGTGATTTTTCCTTTCTCGTTTCTAATTCTGTTGATGTGTGTTGACTCTCTTTTTCTCTTAATAAGTCTGGCTAGAGGCTTATCTATTTTGTTTATTTTCTCGAAGAACCAGCTCTTGGTTTCATTGATTTTTGCTATTGTTTTATTCTTCTCAATTTTATTTATTTCTTCTCTGATCTCTATTATGTCCCTCCTTCTGCTGACATTAGGCCTCATTTGTTCTTCTTTTTCCAATTTCGATAATTGTGATGTTAGACTCTTTATTTGCGATTGTTCTTCCTTTAAGTATGCCTGGATTGCTATATACTTTCCTCTTAAGACTGCTTTCGCTGAGTCCCACAGAAGTTGGGGCTTTGTGTTATTGTTGTCATTTGTTTCCATATATTGCTTGATCTCTATTTTAATTTGGTCATTGATCCATTGATTATTTAGGAGCATGTTGTTAAGGCTCCATGTGTTAGTGGGCCTTTTTGCTTTCTTTGTACAATTTAGTTCTAGTTTTATACCTCTGTGGTCTGAAAAGTTGGTTGGTAGAATTTCAATCTTTTGGAATTTACTGAGGCTCTTTTTGTGGCCTAGTATGTGATCTATTCTGGAGAATGTTCCATGTGCACTTGAGAAGAATGTGTATCCTGTTTCTTTTGGATGTAGAGTTCTATAGATGTCTATTAGGTCCATCTGTTCTAGTGTGTTTTTCAGTACCTCCATGTCCTTTCTTATTTTCTGTCTGGTGGTTCTGTCCTTTGAAGTTAGTGGCGTGCTGAAGTCTCCTAGAACTTCAGCATTGCATTCAGTTTCCTCCTTTAGTTCTGTTAGTGTTTGTTTCACATATGCTGGTGCTCCTGTGTTGGGTGCATATGTATTTATAATGGTTATATCCTCTTGTTAAACTGAACCCTTTATTATTATGTAATGTCCTTCTTTATCTCTTGTGACTTTCTTTTGTTTTGAAGTCTATTTTGTTTGATACTAGTACTGCAATACCTGCTTTTTTCTCCCTGTTGTTTGCATGAAATGTCTTTTTCCATACCTTGACTTTTAATCTGTGCATGTCTTTGGGTTTGAGGTGAGGCTCTTGTAAGCAGCATATTGATGGGTCTTGCTTTTTTATCCATTCTGTTACTCTGTGTCTTTTGATTGGTGCATTCAGTCCATTTACATTTAGGGTGATTATTGAACGATATGTGCTTATTTCCATTGCAGGCTTTAGATTTGTGGTTACCAAATGTTCAATGTTGGCTTCTTTAGTATCTTACTGTCTAACTTAACTCACTTATTTAACTGTTATAAACACTGTCTGGTGATTCTTTACTTCTCTCCCTTCTT